AAAAAAACTACATCACCAAATCAAACACAAAAATGTATTGGAATTTACTGCTAAGACATATATTTTTTACATATTGTGGATCCTTATATTCACTTATAAAGTCTACATGTAAATATATTGTCTTGTCAGACTCTGCACGTTTTGGTGATGTATTTCTTTAATTTTATATTATGTAATTTTAAGATCAAGGGTCAGTATATTGAGGTGAATCGCACATGTACAAGTGTGCTGGTCAAACCTGCACGCGCGATTCACCTTGCGATTCACCCTCTAGAATTGCAAGGTGAATCGCACAGAGAATCGCGAGGTTTGACCACGCCTAATACCAAATAACTGCTACTGTGTGTTGAACTTCAACGTAAACCAAAAAAGCTAAGATGTGCATGCCAAACACGATGTGACGATCGTCGATAAATGGCGTGGTCAGTTTAGGCTTTTTTGACAGTGAACTTCTCAAGAGTCACTATAACTCGGTAACTGCTGTTTCGCACGCTCCAGATCGATACAGAACAGAATATCGCGCTATCGAAATTAAACTATGATTAATCAAGGCAGTCACCATACGTGGTATGAATGAGCTGTCCTTGGGGAACGTAAGTTCTCTTGTTAGGTAGGCATGATTTTCGCAACTCTTGTCTTGTCCACCATGGATGGGCCAAAACTCTGTGCTGCCAACGTGCTCGAACCTTTCACCCTCCGTGTGTATGTCTTTCTCTTCGTCGAGAAAGCTCGATAAGTTGGAATTTCAGAAACCACAAAGGCTATGGATAGCACTCATATTTTACTGTTCAGGGACATGAGAACCAGGTGGATATGTTGAACAGCACCAACTTGTTAGTGCTCGATCTCAATCAAGCAAATCGATCCCAAGCAAGAAGCATTTGTATAACGTGATACCATGAGGCAAAAGCACGCTGTAGCCCTTCATATTCAGACATGCATCCTCAATGTGTTCACTGCCTATTTAACTCAGCCTTGCCTGCACCGCATTGCTCATTACTCTTACCCTCAGCCCCAACAAACGCCAGTATTGAAGATTCACAATTCTTGAACGTAAAGTACTTCAAAATTGTTCAATGTCTGATCAAATATACTGACGGTTGATCCGGGATTTATAGCTTCAAAAGAACGGACACATGCCGCCAAGTCGGAGGACACAAGTCGACAGCAGTGGTCCATCGCACCCCTATCGTGGAGAGCGCGGAAATGGGGTTAGAGATACCAATGCTCGCCCAGACGCATCTCAATGGTGCGTCTCTCTCATTTCCGACAGTTGTCCGACTGTGTTGCTTCACAGTCCCTTTGTTTGCTTCCAGAAGGCAAAATTAATCCAATACACTTTTTAGTAATGATGGCCTGCAGGACAAAGGCAACGTACGAGTTTTGCCATCAAATCTTGAACAAATTTCACGCAACTCATATCAGGGGAGTAGTGGAGCTGGCAATAACACCGACTCATTCGGCAACATTTTCAAGAGTAAAGTTGATCATTGTTCGGAGAGTGAGATCATTGCGGATTGCAAGGCCTTAAACAACAGAATAAAGAATACAGTTCTAAACGTTGCTGAACATTGGACGAAGGTGTCGTTCCGCAAGCCCCGCAGCTCCGACAAAGAGTTAAGAGCTCGAGACCGCGATTTCTTGCGATCCATTCTGGGAGAAACACTCTACAATTCTATCAAGAGGCATGGGCAGTCGCGTTCCACACTAACGGAAATCGAGGGAGATATTACCGATGCACTCCAAACACTCGCTGCTTATATTTCAAACTATATCATCTCGGACACATTCTGCCCTGCTTTGTCAAATCACTGCGACACTAAAAATAAAGATATATTCATAAGCATGATCTTTCACGGTATGTCTTACTGGTTTCTGCACTCTATCGTCCGGATTTTACAGCCTCATCATCCTATTCCTAAAGAACCGCAAGTTACTGCACTTCGTTGGCGAGCTCTGACTTATTCGCATGCCACAAGGAGCACGCCAAACAGATCGGCGCCTGCAATCAACGCGTTCCTTTCCTCGTTTCAGTCTCGCATGGCATATGATTTCAAACTTATATTCCTTCTTGCTGGCGAAAGTGCATCATCCCCATTCCTGTCCGAAGTGCCGCAGATTCTTTTCAAGTGCGGGGTCATCGAATCAGCAGTCGAACTCGCTGAGAAACTTAAGACAAGTATCTTCTCAACTTACATCGACACGTACTGGGTAAAACCAAAGCTCGTCTTCGACGAAAGTCTGATGGATGAAGACGGGCGTATTGGAAAATCGGATTCATCCCACCAGACTCTGGTAGCGTGTACCATGGAATTGGGCATCCGAGAAATTGTTACCGATAATACCGCGACACAAAGCCGAAAAGGACGGATCCTGTTAAAACCGAAGGTACTAGTCGAAGTAAGTGACTCATTACTCATCTACTCACTGTTATAACTCATACGGAACAGGGAAATTAGTAGTGGATATCATTGGTTACAGTGCTGTTGATAATTCATACTGTTAGCTCACTAGTATATTTAGTGACTAGAGAAGGGGCCATTGAAATTGATTTGTATATTTAGTATGATGTGATAGCTTTCTATATAGCAAAAATCAGAAAGAAAATTGTAATACTGTTGGTTTACAAGCTTACCCTATTCGTTGTTATATGGAATATTCATACCGAACCGCCGGTATTATTCTCAGAATATTGAGCCAGAAGGGCTTTTGACTCGTGAGCCTTTACTTTTTGAGCACTAACTTACTGATCAAGTCCCGGGACTGTCACATACAACATGATGCTCAGCTGTCAATATTACATTTCAATTTTGACAAAATAGTTCACTAATACTGTTTTTGTTTTCCAAAATTACCATATATGTGATGGATTGTCAAATGAATGTATTCACTTGACAAATTTCGACTTGCAAGCATGTAAGCATATTGAGCATTGCACTTTCTTAATGCTAAGATGAAAGAGCCATTTTGCATAGTATAGTAATATATCTGGTATTTTTGCAGCTCAAGGCCAATAGTAATGACGGAAAGTACATAAGGCTGTAACAGGTGCACAAGTATCATTGTAAAAAAAATTGAGATGACTCAATTGTATGTAGCTACTAACAGAAACTTCTTGTACAAATTCCAGATTCAACCAATTGGAATCAAAAGAATGGTACATGAATGGTATGATGATACTATCTTCAAGAAAAAATTACAAGACAATGCAAACTTATTCATCTTCATAAAAGATGGTAGCAGGGCCACTGCATTCAAAGTCAGAATGTTAGTCACAGGCCCCACTACAAGTCAATCCCACTTACTGATGTACAACACCCTATTAAAACACAATTAGATTTCACTTTTTCTCTCAGGTAGTAAAGATAGACATACATCCTCTATCCATTTAATCCGTGCTTGGAGTTCTACTTGTCCGAAGCTAATTTCAATGGAAAAATTAATGTGCCAGAACCTCCTGTTCTTGTATGTGTGCATTCGTTCTAGCTGAAAAAGCCTTGAAAAGTCGGCTTTAATTATACATGTGCTCAGAAAAAGCTCTAGATATATGAATAGTATTTTACTTTTGTAAGGATGCCGAATTCCTTGATACAAACATACCTTTGTTTTCATCATACCATGTAGGAGTATGATCAGGTCCGTTATAGCGGATCAGTGTGCATTTGTGCATTGTTTCTGATGCATTCGAAGCTAGCCATGTATACGGAACTGCATGCTTCTCCGAATCTTGTACGTCTACGCCCTTAAACGTTGGTCATTCACATGTGTACAGCCTCTCCAGAAGTATCTCAAGATAATGCCATACCTTCTGGAGAATAATGCTGAAGCGTGAGGGAAGCACTATGTCTCCTTCCAAGTCTTCGAAGCAGAGATGCTTGCGTCGGACATGGTCCGGGTCGAAGGCGTCATAGAGTACGCTGCACTTGATTCCGTATGCTGCTCTGGTGACACGCCTTTTGACTGTATTGTCCAATGCATACAAAACATTGCCATTTGCTACAGCTTTGGCTCTGTGTGCGTAGGTATGAATATGAATATTCTGCTTTGTTACGGGTGAAACAGGCGCTCACAGGTTTGTATCTGGGCGACTAACAGGAATGCTTTGTTCTCCTAATATTTCACTTACTTTCTCGAGAATCCAAGGACTGGCTGCAAAGCCGCCAACTAACCACACAGGCTGAATCGAGTGTCAGCACATTGAATGTATAACTTCTTGAATTGCTCACAATTGTCTTAACTTGACAAGCTCTAATCTGACTCTTGACGGATTCGACGAGATTGAGTACAGAGAATTGGAAACATTTCTGCAGCTCAAGCCTGTGTTTGAAGTCAATAAAGAAAAATAGAAAAACAATGCAATATTTCGCACCCTTCTATCCTCAGATAGCCTTTCTTGATACCCATTTTGGAGTTATTCTCAGAGCGAGATCCAATATTCATCCACAAGGTTCCTTCTTTGTCGTTGATACTGAACTCTCGCTTGAGCGATTGCTCAAATTTCTTGTCCACAATATCATCTAATTCATCTGGATTGTCATAGTGTGATCCACGAAGTCTTTCTGTGGCAAACGCTTTATCTCATGGCTGCTTCCTCTGCCCGAACAACTTACCTTTCAGCAACCTGTACATCTCCTTGTTGACAAATACACCACCAGCAAAGCGACCTGTACAAAGATCAGCCAGGAGAAGTCAATGCAGATTTTTTTACTCACAGTCGGACGAGGTTAGCTCTCTGAGTTGCAATGGAGATGTTTGTGTGATTTCGTACGTTGTAACGTCAAGAGTTCCACCTCCAGCATCAGCAATCACGAAGCGATATCCAGGCTGTATTAATGCCAACAGATCAGACCTTTCAACAACTTTAGATGACGATTCATACCTGTAAGTTCGGAGGACAGAGACCATTTGCAAGACAAGCGAGTGCGCTTGCTTCTCCCTCGGTGACGAATTTGAGCCGAGCATGTCCAGTGATACCGTTTGGCACCAATCCACCAAAGACCGCAGCGCTTCGCATTCGCTGCTGCTGCAGACCCTCCCAGCCATTTGGGTGGCTCAAAACAAATGAAATCCGTTCTTCGAAGCTCTTGATCAATTCAGATCCATGTGGCTCGTACTTTTCTATATAGTTAATGGTTTCTTTGTATAAGTAGCGGAGAAAGTGCCCCATTGCTTCGACTGGAGTCATCTTTGGTGGCAACGTGCCTAGCGACAGACCATTCGTATTAATGCGCATGTTTGATGGACGGAGATGCATCTTAAAACTTCAAATTACGTGATTTTATAAAGTTTGCTTCCATCTGAATTACACGTAAGAAACGTACTGTTCGACCTTGATCCACCCTTCACACTCAGCAACATTAATTGTCGTGTCGCTCACTGCTGATGCCCCTGCAGCCTTGAGGTTCAAGTCTTTGTCGAAATACATTATTGACGGTATTTTCGCATCACTTGTGGTTTGCCCAGTGAATCTGGAAACACTGTTAATATCGGTCTGCTCGTATATTATTGTAAGCTTATGCCTACCGTGGCACGGGTTGGACTTCTGGGATAATGTTCGGCTTGAGGATCGCATATGAAACACCGCTAAACGTTGTCCCAACATCAATGCCAATCACCAAGTCCATTGTAGAACCCTGGTATGGTCGAAGGTTCAAGAAACGAGGGAGCTTATGACCAGTGCTCATGGCCAGCTGGACGAGAACTAGTAGGAGAAAGGAAAGCAGGTGAACGTAGGTATAGAGATGCGCCTTATGAACTGGCTGGATCCACTATTGTGACATAGACAACGAGGCAACAGGATGTTTTAGATTGTAATTCACAAACACGCATCTTCTGCATGCCCATGTCTTCAAAGTTCAACTTCCGCCCACGAACTTGCACTCATCTGTTGGAAGCCCACCACTGAGTTTCCTAAGACTAGTATAAGTTTGCGGTTGAAGTAAGCACTAAAAACCCTCCGGATTTGCTACTAAGATGGTCCTACAGCACCAAATTTGGCAGATGCTTAGAATTCGGAGATCACAGGGAACAACAAGCAGCCTTCCTATGCATCGTGCGGAGTCTCGGAAGAGTAACAACTTTCTATGTCCATGGTTGGGGAAACTTTTCCAAGGGTGTGTTCCTTACACTTTCGACGGCCAGGCCGACCAAACTCATTTCATTGTCCCTTGTTAGTGTCTTGAAGAAACTGAAAATAAACACTCTTTCACCTCTGGATAGAAGTGATTTCCAGAGTAGGGACGATACGCGAGCATTAACATCGACTTCGGAGCGAATATCATCAGACGTGCATCAGGAAAGCAGCCTTACCGAATACCACCGCAGTGACTGCACTGGGCCAGACGACCTGCTCTACATAAGTAGAGTTGACCGCTGCTCGGAGAGAGAAATCGTCGTAGATTGCGAAGCTTTGAACAATAGGATGAGGAATACTGTCTTCAATGTAACCGATCAGTGGACAAGATTTTCTGTCCGTGAAACTGGCGGATCGGCTATACAACTTCGACCCGAGGATCACGAGACCCTGAGATCCATTCTGGGAGAAACGCTCTACAACTTGATCAAGAGCTTCGGAGAATCACGTTCGACGCTGGACGAAATCGAGGACCATGTCACTGATGCCCTCCAGACATTTATTACGTACTCCGCACACCAGATCATTTCTGACACGTTCTGCCCCGTTATGAATGAATACAGCAATGCCACAAATCAGAGGCTTTTCACGTGCATGATTATGCATGGTAAGTGTCTGTTACCCTCGTTCGGATCTAAGCAATGACTTTGTCGCTTGTAAAGAACGCCAGCCAGTTGCACTTCATTGGCGGGCTTTGGGATACGTGCATGCGGTGAAGAGCGCACCGAACGGACCGACTTACGCAACTAGAGAATTCCTTTCAGCATTTCAATCGAAGTTGGAACACTATTTTCAAGGCATATTCCTCCTTGTTGGCGAAAGTACAACATCGCCATTTCTACCCAGAGTATCGCAGATGCTTTCAAAATGTGGGGTCATCGAAGCAGCAATCGAACTCGCTGGAAAACTCAAAACAAGCATCTTTTCGACTTACATCGACACGTACTGGGTGATGCCAAAGCTCGTCTTCGATGAAAATGTGATGGAAAAAGCCGCCCACATTGAAACGTCAATAGCCTCCCACCAGACACTGGTAACATGTACTCTGGAGTTAGGTATCCGAGAAATTGTCGCAGTCAGGGCCGAGACACAAGACCGAATTGGCCGGATCTTGTTGAAACCAAAGGTGCTAGTCGAAGTAAGCGGTTCATTTGCAAGTTCGTTTATAATACGAGCTAATCCCCAATAGGGCATGTAAGAACCAATAATTCTGTTCTCGGTTTCGTCAATATCAGTTTGAGATTAGATTGATCACTTGTTACGCAGTTGTTCGATGATTATCGAAAGAATTAGATAGAAAATGTTTAGTTCACCACTCCGGAAAATTACTCACATTCATGTTACAAATGTAGCGTATGGATAGACGCTACTTAAAAAAAAGTGTTTCAACACCCCAAGTGTCTTGAGCCTAACACACGTACAACCGCCACCCGTGACTATAATAGTGTCCCATTAAATTAATTTTCTGGCATGTTTTTCCGAATCTAGACAGGTATCAGATCTGCTTACTTACCTGCGACTTTATCAATAAGCTCAATTTTTCTTTAAAAAAATCTCACATTAACTGCAACCCAATGTAACGGAAACCTGTATACTAACACCAGACAAGCCATTACTGTAAGCCGAGGTTATTAAAAGTGACGTGGAACGTACAGGATGCTGTACATCTTACCTTTTGGAGTAATGAAGGGAGCAGCCCTGTCTGCATCCATTTGCAAAGAAAACGAATAAATGCCAATGGCATTTCAATGAAGCATGCCTGTATAGAAGGGCTGTTTTTGACTTCGATGGCACTAATGTTCTCCTGACCTAACATTAAATCGTTCGAGTGGACGACTTTATTATTCATCGTTGTCTGCTGGATCCTCCGAGCGAAGGACAGTAACTGCACACTATAACACCATGACATTGTTTGCTCTCGTGCGCAGCATCTTGTCATTGAGCCAGGATTATGGAAATCTTCACTTTTCTTCGTGATTCTTGTCGTGGAACCCATGCGTAAATGCAACTAAATGATTATTATGCAGGAAATAATGCACAATGCTCGAATAAATTGAGGAAAAAAACCTTATTCAGCACGCCTGACGCGCAACGGTACAGCATATCCTTCCTCTCCAGCAATTTTCGGGCGGGGAAGAATCGTCGCAACCATTTCAATCTTCGTTTCTGGTCCATCCCGCATTGAGAATACGTAATTACGTATAAGAACAAAGAGCACAGCCTTACGAACACACAAAAAGATTGCATGTCAGTGAAAGGTATTCAACGAAGTGCCTTTCTGGGCAGGACACAACCCACCTTAAACTCTGCGACGGCAAACGCCCGTCCGATACACATCCTTGGTCCATCTGCAAAAGTAAGCAAGTGATGATATCCTTGGATATCCTTCACCTTGCTCGGAAGACTCACATCCTCGCCATTGGAGAGCCATCGCTCGGGGTTGAACGCCTTTGCATCTGGACCCCAGATCGCTTCCGAGCAGTTGATGGCGGATATCGGCACCAAGACGGTGGAGCCTTCAGGTACGATTATTTCGTTAATCTGTTCGCCTGAAGGGTTAGTGATGGGTTTGCTGAGTGGTATCACGTCGTCGCAAGCAGCCTGTAGTTAATAGTCCATGAATAGACAGCTCTTAGTGTGCGGGCAAGTACTCACTACACGTTGAGTCGCCTCGGCCGGCGAACGTAAGCGAAGGATTTCAAGCGTAACCGCATTCAAATAGGGAAGACTGTCTGTAAGCTGATCATATAACGGGTCGCTACTAGAAAATTCGCAGAGCTCCTTTCGAAGTTTGTCTTGCTTGTCGGCATGCCTTGCTAACTCGATAAGAGCCCAAGTCAAGCTTACTATAAGAAAATCCAGGTAAGCGATCTATTGTATATAGAAGCCATCACCGGTGAAACGTACTGGATGTTGTCTCATAGCCAGCTACTAGTAGAGTCTTCATCTTTTTAGGAAAAGACACATGAGCATTGTTATCGGTCTTCAAGTCGCGTTATCGTTGCGTACCTGAGCCAGTAGCTCTTCCTCGGATATCTTTAGCTTTGAACTGGAACTCTCAGCTTTGACTATATTGTCATTGAATTAATGGGTTTGCTCCAAAGAGCTACCGGGAAACAACATACGAAGTGTTCCCATTACTGACCGGTCGACATCAAGCTGGCCGTGGGAGGCCACTTCTCCCTCGCTTCGCTTACCCTTCATAAGGTTCCTCGAAATGCCTTCAAGTGTAGCATTCATTCTGCTTTGCAAGCGAGTCATTTTTGTGGGAATCTTCGAGAATATTGGGAATATAATTTGAAGCATAAAGATGAGGAGTATGAAGCCCGATGGAAGGTTTGGTGTGTAGAAAGAATCGAAGACGTCTGTCATTTCCTGGCTTTCGCCTTCGAGCGAATTGAAGTCGTGCCCGAAGCCTGCTATACCAATGCTATCTAGAGAGATGCGGTTCATCCTTTCGCGAGCGGGCATGTTTTAATGGTGCGGAATCAACAGGACCGAGAACGAAGCAGCTTACCATGTTTGAACGTCAATGATGAATTCGTCTAACCCAACGTTTTGTGCATCCCAGGCATCTTTCAACTAGCATTTATTACTTTTCAACAGGATCGGAGCATGTACTCATATAAGAATATCTATACCTTATATGCTGAATTGAAGAAGACATGCGTTACGTCTCGAATTGCTGCAGTGGAGAAAGCAGGGGCGAGTGATTTGCGCTGCCTGTTGGACACATTTAGCACCAGGAAAAATATAGAGAGGATTCATTTCCTATTTCTCACCTTCGATGGTCGTCACCCTCTGCTGAAAACAAGCCTCTACCGACCTATGTTACCATTAACACAGTGGCTATAATCGTGCACCGTCTTGTCTGAACTTACAAACCTATGGATCGTATTCTTTACACTTTTGCTGAATACATAGACAGTCGATCCTTTGGCGTAGAAATGTGCAATACTCTTCGGATCCATCAATACTATTGTCTTCGTACCCAGTGGACCCGGGAAATGGTACGCCAAACCGTATTGTTCAGCACATCGTTCCAAGAGCAAATTTCCCTCCCCGAGTCCCTCACTGGAGAAGAACTCTTTCTTCCCTGATCCATGAAGCCAGCTCTCCCTTGGCGGTCCACGTAGCTCAGTTGCTTTTGAGGGTGTTCGACACGATTGAAGCGCCTTGTAAATCAGCCATGTTGCAGCACCCAGAGAAACGAATTCTACTGCATGTCTGGTAGTTGAGGTCATGGTGGTAAGAAGCTGCCCTGCAACCAGCATGCATCCCCCTCCGCAGTTGTTTCAATGTGATCTGTATCCACTAGAAACAACCCTGAGCAAATCAAGACGCGGTTATTAGAAGTATCACGGAGGACGCGGAAGGCTGTGCATTTTCCCCATGACGGGCCCAAGAGTGCGAATTAACGTGCAAGACACCAAAAATCGAAGCTAGTAGCACTGTAATGAGAGCATGACGGTCCAGGAGGCGGTTTCGGTTTCGAGGACTTCCATTCTTTCTGACCCTTCAGGCCCAGGGAGTGAATGATTCGCTGGCGAGTCGCTGCAATTAGTGACATCCACAAATAAGGCAACCAGAAATGTAAGTCCACTCGCGCGATCGCGTGACGTCAGTATCAACAACTTCGGAACCGAGCACCATAAACATGCAGGACAACGAAACCGTGTCTACCATATTATGGGAACTACTTCAACAACACTGTGCATGCTATTTACAAGACATACAACGTCATCTCAAATAGCATTGCGTTCTATTCCCATACTTACACGATCTCTCGCTAAAATCAACTTTTCGCTAACCATAAAAAAGTTGTCCCTCAGGCTGTTCCACGTTCACTTACCGATAGCTAGAAATTTCACTAGTATACGGGACAAGATTGCATAATAACGTTATAACATTGAGTCGTTCATAACAGGATCATAATGGAAAGCATATTAATATGAAGACTGTTTCTTGTGGCAAAACATTATATGATCACTCCAAGGCCAAGTATTGCTCATAATGCATTCCAGACACAGTGCATGGCTCCTTTGGCCTTCGGCTTAGTTCACTCGAACACTCGGTATCTGCAATAAGTACAGAGATTCTGCAGCTGGAATTCACGCAACTTTCTAATATTCGACGGCCTATCTTTCAACTTATAGGATTGACATTCCACACTATTGTATTTAATTTATAATATTAACTGTGGTTAATCTTAACACTTTGTACACTGGGATCTTTGCCACAGCTTTATAGCACTGCTGGAATGATCTTCTGATTTCTTATAGAGTCTTATAGAACATGTAGTGATCGTAGTACGATTTAAACAAGAACTTTGTTATTCATCCTTGTCTGCAAGATTCTCTCGAGCGAAGAACTCGAATAGTAACTCGGCCCTCTAAAACAGTATATGTCCGTTGACATGTAAACTTACGGCTTATTCGTGCTACATGTTGTTAAGGCAGGGGCAAGGCATTTTTCGTTTTTATTGTGAATTTTTGTAGCCCTGTAAACTGTACTACAGTTGAATATTCCAGTCATAGTGCTAGTATGCAATTGATTCATAACAAGGGCTAAGGGTGGTAGAATTTATAGAGCAGAGCCATCAGTTCTAGAAGGGCTTTAAGCATGGAAAAATTGATTTGGGATTGTGCAGAAGTACAAGGTATATATGTAGGGGCTGTTCTTTAGATATTGAGAAGATTGTAAGAGTATTGAGCTAAGGGTCGCTTAGTCCATGATCGTCATGCAAAAGACAAAGGGTAAAATAATAATAATGATCTTGCATTTGAAAAGGCAGGGATTGGGATTGGGATTGAGTTGGACAACCTTCTAAGCTTGACAATTTCTGAGTCTGTACATTATATAAGATATGAATAAGGCCGTCTGTCGTGTGGAAATGTGCCATGTCATAGTGTATCGAGAAAGAAAGCAATGCAGAGCATATGAATATTACTCAACACGCTTGACACGCAACGGGACAGCATAACCTTTCTCGCCGGCTACCTTTGGGCGGGGAAGAATCGTAGCGACCATCTCAATCTTCGTCTCTGGTCCATCCCGCATCGAGAAAATATAATTCCGCACAAGGACAGATAGAACGGCCTTTCGAACAGAAAGAAAAAGGGTTCGCATGTCAACGACAGATATTTAACACAGAAGCCATTATTGGAAACACAACCGACCTTAAACTCCGCAACAGCAAACGCTCGCCCAATACACATTCTCGGTCCATCCGCGAAGGAAAGCAAGTGATGATATCCTTGAATTTCCTTCACCTTGCTCGGAAGACTCACATCCTCACTATTGGAGAGCCATCGTTCGGGTTTGAACTCCTTTGCATCCGGACCCCAGATTGCTTCCGAATGGTTGACGACAGTTATAGGGACCAAGACCGTCGAACCTTTGGATACAGCTATTTCGTTGATTTGTTCGCCTGAAGGGCTTGTGATCGGCGTGCCGAGTGGTATTATATCATCACATGCAGCCTGTAGTTGGTAGAGTTCGTAATGAATGAATACAGAATTCTTAGTCTAAGGATGAGAAACACTCACTACACGTTGAGTCGCCTCCGCAGGAGAATGCAAGCGGAGGGTTTCAAGCATGACAGCATTCAAATAGGAGAGACTGTCCGTAAGCTGATCATACGATGGGTCACTACTAGAGAATTCGGAGAGTTCCTGTCGAAGTCTGTCTTGAACTTCGTGGTGTTTTGCTAGCTCGATTAGTGCCCACGTCAAGCTTACTGTGAAAGTTCTATGTAAGCGATCCATTACATAGAGAAGCTGTAGACCGGTAAACGCACTGGACGTTGTCTCGTAACCAGCCACTATTAGGGTCTTCATCTTTTTAGAAAAGGACATGTGAGCTACATTACTGGCCATCGAGTCGCGTTGTTGTTACATACTTGAGCCAATAACTCCTCCTCGGATATCTTCATATCTGAGTTTGAACTCTCAGCTTTGACTGTATCGTCGCTGAACTTATGAGTTACCCCAGGAGGTTATAAAGGAACAACATACGAAGCGTTCCCATCATAGACCGGTCGATACTAGTCTGGTCGTGCAAAGTTACCTCCCCCTCGCTTCGTCTTCCCTTCATAAGATTCCTCGAAATGCCTTCAAGCGTAGCATTCATCCTGCTCTGCAGGCGAATGATCTTTGTAGGAATCTTCGAGAATATCGGAAATATGATTTGAAACATAAAGATGAGGAGCTCCACGCCCGATGGAAGGTTTGGCGTGTAGAATGAATCGAAGACGTCTGTAATTTCTTGGCTTTCGCCTTCGAGGGAGTTGAAGTCGTGACCAAACCCTGCTATACCAATGCTATCTAGAGAGACGCGGTTCAGCCTTTTATGAGCGAACATGTTTCAGTGGTGCAAAATCAACAGAAAGTCCTAGATTGAAATAGCATACCATGATTGAACATCAATAACGAATTCGTCGAACCCAACGTTTTGTGCATCCCATGCATCTTTCAGCTAGCATTTCGCACTTTTAAACAATTTGGAAGACGAATCTATACAAGAATACCTGTACCTTGTACGCTGAATTGAAAAAGACATGCGTTGCATCTCGAATTGCTGCATTGGAAAAAGCAGGAGCGAGAGATTTGCGCTGTCTGTTGAGCTTGACTCAGTTCCGGCAAAGGTATAGAGATCATCTATCTCTTGTTTCTCACCTTCGATGGTCTTCGCCCTCAACCGAAAACAACCCTTTTCCGACCTGTATTATGATTAACCAGTTCTCCCAATCATACACTTTTGCATAAACTCACAAGCCTATTAAATATTTCCTTTACAGCTGCGCTATTTATATAGACAGTCGATCCTTTGGCATAGAAGTGTGCAATGCCCTTCGGGTCCATCAATACTATCATCTTCGAGCCCAGTGATCCAGGGAAATGGTACACCAAGCCATATTGTTCGGCACATCGTCCCAAAAGCACGTTTCCCTGCCCAGATAAGAGCTCTTTCTTCCCTGATCCGAAGAGCCAGTTCTCCCTCGGCGGTCCACGTAGCTTAGTCGCTTTTGATGTCCGATAAGATCGAAGTGCCTTGTATATCAGCAATGTTGCAATACCCAGTGAGACGAATCCCACAGCACGTCTTGTGGTTGACGTCATGGACGTAAGTAGGTGACCGAACAGTGGCGTGCATCTTTCTCCCCTTTTAAGCGCTTTAATATGTTCCATAGCACAAGTGGGATTTGAAATGTCGGGTCAGGCCGGGTGACCCGCGACTCAGAGTGAGTCAGATCGGAATATTCAGGTTAGTGATTGATCCTGACCTGACCCAGCTCGTCGAAACTCAGAGTTAATCAGGCCAAAAGGTGAAAATAAGAATAAATACGACAAGTGCAAAAACAATGCGTGTTAATCATCCAACGTTATTTTGTACTTCTCATGTAGTTATGTATATCTGTCCGGTTAAAGGTCAGGTTAGGTCGGGTTGAACTGGGCCACGATTCGGTTGCGTCGAAGCACAAATCAGTATCAATAATTTGCTGATGCACGGTCATTGGACGCGCGCGTGGGAGCGTGCTGAGCAGTGAGAATCGAGCAAGGATGCTGTCGGCCACGAGTAAAACTCATCGAAACTCAAGAAAGACCCACGATCGTACCTGTCATTGTAAGGTTGGGAAAATATAAACTCAACCAACTGTGACGCGGCAGTACTAGCCTCTTTTGGGCCATACAATAATGGACGAAATAACTTCCTCAAATAACCTCAAATGAATATTTGGGCAACATAGAATTGTAGAGGACATCTGTAGCTACAAATGTATGTTTTTATTTTTCAAAAATATTGAGTACAAATTTTTTTATTTCCTAAGAAAACCTTTTTTGTTAAAATGGTCTAAAATTGCATTTCTATGAGTTTGAACACTACTCGAAAAAATTCAACCCAGATTTTTACCGCTTATATAATACAAAAGTTATGTAATAGTATTAATAATAATACATTTGTCAGCATTTTTTAAAGTAATTTTTTCCAAACACTTAGAAAGTTGAACAAACACTATATAACTGTTTAAAAACCAACTTTAGACATTAATAATTGTATCTGAATAAGTTTTGAACTTGCTAGAGCTGATAAAACAAAGTCAATTTTTTCTGACCTAGAAATTTTTACTGTAGGGTCCTTCCAAAAATAGTATGTGGCTGTGCTGTGACTGATGTGACAAGTTGGTTGAGTTTATGTTTTCCCAACCTTAACTAATATGAGTGTATTCTCACAATCTTGTAATCTAAATACTAGAATGTGACCCTACATTTCAAATTTTTATAGGCACAACATAAATCCTCTTTTGGCAAATGTATGTAAATATAAGCTCTCCTATCATGTAAAGATTATTTATTATTTTGGGGCTGTTGAGTGAGAATCCTTCTTTTCAAGCTTTTCTATACATTTTTCCACAGTTTCTTAAATATTGTAACTTCTGAGGTTACACACATGACTTTAGTTAAGTATATAAAGGGCTATTTGTAGACACTTAGAGATTATCTTTGTACTTGCTCCTGTACTTAGGTCAACCTCTCCAATCCCAGGTCTTTACCTGTTCTGTGTTCTTGAGTAAGACTCTAACCTTTACACTTTTTTTTGAACAGGCAAAATTTGGGGATTACCTCTCATCTACTGTCTTTCACTCATGCTACCAGATTGTCAGCCTCCCCCCCCTAGCTTCCCCCCACATGTCTACTATCTCCTACACACCTACAGTACTCTATAGTAATACTCTAGTTAATTACAAACTTCACAAATGCTATACTGAATTCCTGTTCACTCTTAAAGGCTTATAGAGAGAATATTACCACCTACTGGCCCACCTTTAATCTCCTAACAGACCCTCATCAGATTGGTCCCAGGATTCTAGGAGAATGTGTCAGGAAGATTGTATACAGTCACACTAGAGTTGTACACATTGTGTCTCATTGTGAGTCTTGTTAGTTAGCTACAAGTAAGATTCTGCTACTCAAATATATACTTTCACTATACTACCCTCTCCTAGCAAACCCTCATCAGATTGGTCCCTGGATTCTAGGAGAAGGTGTCAAGAAGAGTGTATGTGGTTGTACTAGAGTTACATGTGTTACACATTATTGTGAGTCTAGTCAGCTGTCTACAATTAAGGTTCTGTCACTCAAGAATATACTTTACTGTGCCACTTCAAGCAGATTATCTACAGACTTACTCTTGCTCATAACCTTTCTACTACTTGTTACAATCTTAAGCTAGTGTCTATAAACAAGCTGTAGAAGCCCCTACTATTCTATTTCTCAAATTGTTTGAGGAGAACACTATCTTGGTACTACTACTAAGATTAGGAGCTACTGTACAATTGCTCCACCAGAACACTGTTAAGAAACAAGCTGTAGAAGGACCTACTATCCTAGTCCTAAAATTGTACAAGGAAGTACTATCTTAATACTACTACTAATATCTGGAACTGTAGTGTAATTCTCTTCAGGAGCTGTAGGTTCTATACTGACAGATAGTGTCTACTTTTAGTATAACAAACATTATAATTGAGCTGTTAACTATAGTGTATTTGTTGTATACTTATTGTACTTACTGTAATGTGTATCTCTCTATTATTAAGGTGTTTGTTAAGACTGTCTATTCCTTACTATACTATCTCTTACTCTGTCACTGTCTAGTGTCTACTATTATTGTCTACTATCTACTAAGGGTATAAAGTCTCTTTTCCTTCCCTTCCTGTTTCCTAGAGTATAAAGCCCCTTTTCTAGTTGTAGACCTAGTCAGGGTACTAAGCCCCTACTAGTGTCAATTCTAGTCCTGAATGTATAGAGCCTCTACTAGTGTTACCTTCTGTTTCCTAGAGTATAAAGTCTCTTTTCTAGTTATAGACCTAGTTAGGGTACTAAGCCCCTACTAGTGTCAATCCTAGTCCTAGACATTTAGGGCCTCTACTAGTGTTACCTCTAGTCCTGAACCTAGCTAGAGTATTAAGCTCCTACTAGTGTTATTCTTAGTTACAGACTTAGTTAGGGATTATACTCTACTAGTGTTATCCAGTCCTTTCCTGTCCTATCCTGTCCTATCCTGTCCTGTCCTATCCTGTCCTGTCTCATCCTGTCCTGTCCCCCTCATAAACAGACCCTCTGTTACCTCTACATACTCTGTTTTACCTACACACTACCTGTACTCTTATTACCCTCAGAATTAGTATATTAATTTTGTCAACCTGGCCCTTCTACTCCTTCTAACACTGACACACACTTAAGGATGACTGTTCACTTCTTAACCATGTGTTTTAATCATTTTTTTCCTCCCTTAAGTAACAGGTACTAGTATAACTGAAGAGTTGTTAAGTTCTCTTTATTATACACTCTAACTTTTACACTCCTTTTTGCTCACACTATTAAAGAGATTAGATTATCTCTAACACCTAGCCTACTGTTAGTCAAACAAAACCTTCTCAGTTGTCTTCTCCTTATCTGTAGTAATACTGTACTTACTAGACCTGTTGAGTATTATTCATGTGTTCCTTACAGTACTGTTTAATGTCTTGACTATGTGTTTTAGTTAATGTTTCAGTTGTCTTCTTCTTATCTATAGTAATACTATACTTACTAGACCTGTTAGGTATCATTCACACATTCCTAACAGTGTAGTTTCATGTCTCAACCATGTGTACTCCTCATCCTTGTCCTTGTCTTCATACATTTTCATTAATGAGTCAAAGCCTTTCTAAGCTAATTATTATGTGTTCCTCTTTAACAGCTTACTTCAACTTGTATCTGTCTTAGGGATACTATTTCTACTAACTCTGTCAAAAGTCCTTGTCCTTATACATTTTCATTAACAAGTCAAAGCCTTTCTAGACTAGTGACTATATGTTCCCTCTTACTATACTTCTCTTACCCCTTTATTAATCCTTTCCTACCTTTTAACAAGTTGAAGCCTTCTTAAACTTGTGACTGTGTGTTCCTTATTGTCTATCCTTACCCTTTTGTATTTCACCTCCCCCCCCCTTTACTATATCCTTTCCTTTGTCTCTCTATTAATTACTTCCCTACCCCCCCCCTTTTATTTCTTTAGAGTAGGGAAGAGTGTAACCTCTAAGGTTACACACATGACTTTAGTTAAGTATATAAAAGGTTATTTGTAGACACTTAAAGATTATCTTTGTACTTGCTTTTATACTTAGGTCAACCTCTCTAATCCTAGGTCTTTGTCTGTTCTATATTCTTAAGTAAGGCTCTAGCCTTTACACATATTTTATAGTATGACAAAAATGTCTTTAATATATAGTTGTATATGTTTGGTCCTAGACTGAGTAGACTACTGTCTAGACTTAAACTAGACTACTAGTCTAATCTAGTTAAGGTCTAGTCTAGGTACAGTCTAACAAGTTCAGTCTAGGGTCTAAAGGAATTAGGATTTTCCTAGACTGTATAAACTAGTATAAACACTAGACTAGATCTAAACCTTAAATACAATATTTTGTACTTAAAAAGAGTAGTTATATAATTGAAAAATCTATATATCCTTAGAATAACACTATTATTTTAGTATATATATTATAGTTTACTTGTTATAGTTGTTTCTTAAGTAAAAAGGTTATTATATATATTAATTTACTTAAAATAAATATGTAACTAAGTAATAACAAAAGAGTATTAACTATAAATGTATTAGTGTATTATATTAAATTATACTAAATTATACTTAGAAGGATAAGATTATTATACTCACACTTAGTAAGTGTATATAAACTTATGTTCTCTCAAGTATTCCTTCTTTTAACAATATTCAAAACTGGTCCAGGTCTGGACTAGGTCTGACCCTGAACCAGACCTAAGGTCCAGTCTAGTAGTAGTCTGAAGTAGTCTAGTCTGGGTCTAACCTAAACCTTAAAATCTGGTCCAGGTCTAGGTTACAGTCTAGGAAAAACTGTCTAAACTAGACAAGGACTAAACTTATACAATTATACTTTAATAGTGTTAGTAACAGTATAGAGAGGACCTGAAGGCTCTATAAGAGGACCTAAGTTATAACTATCTTATATAACAGAAATACAGAATACAAGTACTAGAATATAGTTAGAACTTGTAGAACAGGTAGAGAGAGAGAGTAAGACAAGAGTAGAGTATATAGA